AGTGGTGAGGTTGATGGACACAGAATAATAAACATTTTTAAATTTTAAGACAGAACATAATGAGCAAAATAATGAGCTAACTAAATAACAAAAGGCAGGAAAGTTGAAAGTATTCAGACAAGGAATTTTAATCTACCTATTTTTAAAGCAAGAAAGCATTAATAAACGCACCACTCCATAGTAACTGCGCAGCAGAACGACGGTACATTAACTTGTAGCAACTTTAAACATAAAATACTAATTAAAATATCTCCTTCAATATACATTTCCTTTTTTATTTAATTTGATGAACCTCTGGAGTTCACGAATGAAACCAATCGAAAAACACCAAAAGAAACAAGGTAAGTATTATTAAATTTCATATTTGTTTTTTTTATATTGCTTGCGTGAATTCAAGTTGCGTCAATAATGAGAATCATTTACTATGAACGTAATACAGACGGTTTTCGTAGCCATAACTAAACGTCCAAAACTATCGGCCATGACAAATTCCGTTCACGTCCGCAATATGAAAGGTATTGAGTCTAGGTCCTTTAGGTAAAATTGAGTTTCGCACTTATACCTGCCTCGGACATAATATAATATTCTTAACATATTCCTTAAATTACAGGGACAAGCAACAAATTTGTCATTGAATTGCTTACGATATTTCTTAAGCCTACACTTATGATTTGTTATGATATAGCAGTCGTTATATAAATCTAAGCTGATAATGTTTTTGTTCTTTGTTTTTTTCCAAACAAGTATATGCTTGTACAGTAAATGTTAAAATTGCTTACAGTAAATTTTAAATATTTTAAATTTAAGATATGAAATAGGAACACAAATTTATTTTACTTACTCCATTAATTATTTAATAATATTGCGAAAAAAAAAAAAAAGCTTGGCGGATAATCTGTTCCCAACTCTCTGTATTTTATATCCCAGCAATTTTAGTTACATCATCATCATCATCATTTCATCTTGTTTGAGTCCACTGCTGAACAATGGCCTCCCCTAAAGACTGCCACGAAGCACGATCCTGTGCCACCTGCATCCGTCGACTTCCCGCACACTTGCACAAGTCAATTTGACAATAGTCAGGTAAATTATATTTTAAACCTATATGTTTATGTTGTTATATAATGTTATTATAATATATATAGATATTAGTATAATATATACCATTTATTAATATTATTTAGTTATATAATTAATGATAAATATTCTATTAAATACAATTTTGATACTTGATACAGATTTTGTCCAATATCCATTCATCGATGCATTTCCGTCAATGATGTGAAATAACAATCACTTATCGGGTTGTATTCAATAATTGTTTAGTGATATTTCCCATAGATTCAATCTCAAACACCCAGATTAACCCACGTCATTTTTGTGTGTTAATGCAGAGGTATTCTTCGGTAATCTTATTACATACTTACGTAATTAACTAATAGTGATATTGATCACATTCATTTATTCATTCAACATAATAAAATAGAAACTATATAAAAAGTAACTATACATATTAACAGAAACATACTTTATTTTATGATGGTATTATATATACATATAATATGATCCACTTTTACTGGACTTCTCATGAATAGTTAAAAAATGTATATATTGATAAATTACTAAATTATAAATTTAAACTAATCTTAATGTTAATAATTATAAATTAAAAGTAATAAGCAGAAAAAAAAAATCCTCCTTATACATATTTCAAATCAATAACATAATGGTGGTCGATTTATTGCTATTACTTGTTGATAAGAAATTCGTTTACGTTACTTTAAGCAACATAAAAGAATTTCGTTAGCAACTGCGAACTATTTACCCGATTTAAGCAACCAAGCGTTGATTGTAAAACTCTGCGGCGATTCCAATCGGGCCTTTTAATCAGACTCGCGTGAAAAGGAATAAGTATAATAACGGAATTACATCGCTTTGTCGGTGCTGTTAATGGTTTTTTGACTTAAAAACAGCACACGCGGTGTAAGTTACACAAATCTTGTGAAATTCAAATTAAGTTCATTGCTTAAATTAAAGTAACAAAACTTTACAATGGTAAAACCTCGGTTAGAAATAAAACTATAATATGTTACTTTGAAATTACTAGTAACACCTTTCTCCACCGTCTTAAGCCTTACTGGGGCCCTTATTTTGTTTGTTGCATCCGGGGATGTCAAAAAATACCTCACGTCCGAAACGTCGATTTGAATTATGCCTAAAATATTATAGTTTTCCAGAGAGCACACTCTTGTGTCAAGTGGAAAATACAACCTGACAGGTTGTTATCAATTGGCAATTTAAATATAATATCTCTATGATATAATAAAGGTGCATGAATATGACATACTTCCTCGGAAGATTTTCATTATTCAAGTCTATAAATATTTAAAATCAATTGAAGAATTTAATAACGGGCTTAAACCCATAAATAATCATTTTATCCATTTTTATGGTTCCGTACCTTAAACGGTGAAAAAGGAAGCCTTATAAGATCACTCTGTTATCCGTCTGTCTGTTCGTGTGCCACCACCGATTTTCATGGGAACGGGTGGACTCAGCAAGATCAAGTTTATAGCAGATATTGAGGTCTATAGTAGATATTGAGGTCTATAGTAGATATTGAGGTCTATAGTAGATATTGAGGTCTATAGTAGATATTGAGGTCTATTAGATGTATAAAAATCAAGTTCCCGAGTCAACATGATAAAAATAAATAGGCAAATTTAGATTTTCGAGAAAACTTGTAGGTACCAAGATTTAAAACCTATATGGTTTAAAATTTAATTAACCTAGAAGTATTGAAAATTATTTTAATAAATGAAAGATATTGAAGTAGACCTAAAACAATTAATTCTTCTTTGAATAATACTTAGTCCCTGGAGGACCGAGCCTTGCTCGGTTTTTTTTGTAAATAATTTACAACAAAAAAAATTTATATTTTGTATTTTGGAAATAAAAAAAATAAAAAATAATGAAAATGATCTGGTATAGAAAAAAAGTAAAGAAAATAAGTGTGTAAATGATCGTGATACGAAACACGGCCGTCTGTTTTGGGGCTGCGCGATTACCGACCGAGCTATTATAACATTTTATTTTGCGGCGAAATTTACTGTCATATTCGAATGATATTTTTCATTCCCTGAAAACAGGGATAAAAGGACATTTTCTAAAAATAAAACCTAGCTAGATCGGTTTTTCGCCCCTCTACGCACATACTACATTTCATGAAAATCGCTGGAGCCGATTCCGAGATTCAGATTTTATATATACATATATATATATATATATATATATATATGTATATATATATATATATAGAAAAAAGAAAATTAGTAGAAAATTATAGAAAAAGAATTATCGTACGTAACGTAGAAAATTATCGTCCAATTTCTCTACTTACCACCTTCCCAAAAATATTGGAGAAAATTGTCAATAAAAGACTTGTTAGATATTTAGAGACTAAACAGATGATTTCTCCTAGACAGTTTGGCTTCAGAAAAGGCAAATCAACAGAAGATGCTATCTCCCTGCTAACCACAATCTTGGCGTCACATCTCGATAATAAAAGAGCAGCAATAGGCATCTTCCTAGATTTGAAGAAAGCTTTTGACACTGTTTCTATCCCTATCCTACTCAGAAAGTTGCAAGAACAGTTTGGTATAAGAGGCACATCTCTTGAATGGTTCAAAAGTTACTTGAGTAATAGAAAACAATTTGTTAAAATCTCGGATTATCGCAGTGTTGAAAAGAGGATTAGTTTTGGAGTTCCACAGGGTAGCATCTTAGGCCCAACACTCTTCATAATGTATATAAACTGCATACTTGACATAACCAAAGCAGAAACCATATGTTACGCAGATGATACTGTAATAGTGTTCGATGGCTCTTCCTGGCGTGAAGCGTTTGAGAATGCAAACTTAGGAATGAAGGTAGTGCATACGTGGCTGCAAAAAAATTTACTTACACTCAATATTAAGAAAACTAAATACGTATGCTTTCACAAAACTACAGCGACTGTTCCAAATATTATATCAAACATCACTATACACGACTGTGGAAACCAAGAAAGCTGTGACTGTGATCACATACAAAGAGCGGAAAATATAAAATATTTAGGCGTTATTATTGATCATAACTTGAATTTTAAGGCACATATAAATTTACTCTCAAATAGAGTTCGTAAAACAGCCAATATAATAAAATTACTTCACCCATCAGCTCAAGTATCCACGTTAAGATCAGTTTATTTCGCACTTTGTCAATCAATCATAACGTATTGCATAACTTGCTGGGGATGTGCATCAAAAACCTCAATGTTACCTGTAGAAAGAGCACAAAGGTCCGTATTAAAAACGATGCTTAACAGGCCTTTCAGATATCCGACAGCTAATACCTAAAGTTAAAATTTAAAGTTTTAGTAATATTTATTAAAGTTTTAGTATGAAGCGATCTTTCGACTGGCAAATTTGTAAAATAGATGGAAATCGCAATTAGACGGCAACCACAGGACAGGCTTTGCCTAGTGTGGTGCCAACGCACAATGTACTTAAGTGTAATTCTGTTTGTCAATAAACATATTTTCATTTTCATTTTGATTTTCATATATATATACAAGAATTGCTCGTTTAAAGGATAAGACATTTACAAATTTGTTACATTTTTAGTGACAGTATAACGCAACGGAACTCTTTGGAACGCGCACTTGAATCCCGTCAACGCGTCTCACGCGACGCGCCTCAACCGAATGTAATTGGTCCACGACCGCGCCGTCATCGCAAGCTCCCACCGCGCCTGCGCGACTAGACCGACGCCGAATCCTCCATCTTTTTGGCGGTGAATGTGTGACGCGAACGTTTAAAAAAACAATTATTAAACTAGAGCAATATTACAGAGTTTGAGTTTTACTACAAAGCAACCCACGAAATCACCATTCAATAACATTAAAATGGACGGCCAACTAGTGGCTTTGGAGTAAACCTGAATTCTGTGGATCATACAAGATGACAAAACCGCGCACACGTCGTCAGTCTCGTCGACATTCCGCCTATTTCGACCCGGCAGAGGACGATTCTTCCCCGCCGCCGACTGCAACGGGAAACATTTCCATCAACGATATGGCTGCAATGATGTCCACGTGGCAACGCAACCAAGAGGAAACATTTGAGAAACTTCTGCACACAGTTCTCAATCACTCGCAGCGGTCATCGCCCCCGCCCGCTCAACCTGCACATGGAAACTTCGCCGCGTGCAAGGCTCGCTACAGCGGAGCGCCGGACGAATCACTTGACGGATTTATAGACGCCGTAGAGGCCTACAAAGAATGTGCAAATGTAAGCGAAACTAATGCACTACGTGGGCTGTCAATGTTGTTAACTCATGAAGCCGCGACATGGTGGCAAGGAGTTAAGTCCACCATAAACAAGTGGGACCACGCCCTCACATCCCTAAGAGGTGCGTTTGGTGATAGCCGACCTCCACATCGAATATACAAGGAGCTATTCGCCAACCCACAACAAGCTAGTGAGAAAACAGAACTCTTCATCTCTAAAACTCGAGCGCTACTATCACGCCTGCCAAAGGACGATCTGACAACCAAAGTACAGATGGACATGGTGTACGGACTACTACATAGTAAAATACGCGAGCGTTTGAGAAGAGAGGAAATTGATACATTCGACACACTCCTCAGAAAGTCTAGAGAGATAGAAGAATCTTACGACGTGAGTCTATCAACTAGTGGCCTTCAGAACAAACTGCGCCAGCGCCAGTTTCCGCCACCTTCTCGTCACGCCGCAAGCATCGCCGCCGCCCAGAGGTCAACGACCGCGCCGCCACTACCACCGCAGAGCGCCCCCAAGGCGCCTGCGCCCGCCGCTGAGTCCAGCGCCCACGGCACCTACCGCCGTTCTCCTCGCTGCTCCGTGGTGTCGCCCTCACCGTCGTTTTTCTACAACCGCATGGGTCTTCTACTCCGTTCGCAAACGCCAGACGTCGATATTGTTTCTATTGCAAAAACTATGGACATACACGTGATGAGTGTCGTAGGTTAGCAGCTAAAGGCAAACAGGACATTGATAACACCGCCGACCCCGTCCCGTCATGTTACGGATGCAACGAGAGTGTCACTCGATCACAGTGTGCTAAATGCAATTCGGACTTCTCTGCGTGTGAACACGACCGTCCGAAAGGCGCGCTGATGGGAAATTACGGTACATGGTACTCTACCACTGTTATTAAATCATTTTGTGATAAGGATGAGTCCCAGGCGAGTTCCACTTCATCTTATAACAGTGTGTCACATAAAGGTTTCCCCTCGAGCATGTTATCACTCCCCGAGTCCAGCTTTGATTCATTGAACCATAAGTCGTTATTGGTAAATAATACTGCACGGGAATGCTCTGTTAATTTTTTGCCTACTCAATTTAAATCTGCGTTACCTGAATTGTTTCAAACTAAAAATAATCACGCAGAGTTTTTACCTAAACAATTTACATCTGTGTTACCTGAGTTATTTTATGCTAACATTGATCACATAGAGTTTTTGCCTATTGATTTTACTACATTTTTGCCATATCAATACTTTCTTTGTGATAATGGGTGTGTATTTAATTTAAGTCGTGATACTAATATGTTTGAGTGCATGTCACATGATGTGCCTCCTCCGGCTTCTAAGCTCACAAACGTGCTTGGTTATTATTCTATAAGTAAGTACGATTTAACCACAACCGAATCAGTCCGATTTTCTACAACTAATGACAAGAGTAGGGTGACTATGATTTTTTCCGGACATCCGCGGAAATCGAATGCCGAAGTTAGGGTGACCAAGACAAATGTTTTACATGGTCAATCCGGAAACATAAATAACTTGAAAAATAAACTTACTACGCCTACTAGGTTGACCATGCAGGACGATTGTAATAGTAATCAAAAATTATTTTCTGATGTTGAGTCACAATTTTTATTAAATGGAGCGACGACATGTTCGAACATTTCTCTGTCGACTCTTGATTCAACTAATTCAGACGCTCATCCACAAGTATCAGGCACTTGTCAATCACAACGGAGACCGATTTCAGGAGTGGAAATTCTAGGTGTAAGGGGTACCGCATTATTGGATACAGGTGCTAAAGGGTGTATTGTGGGTGCTTCCTTATTCCTGTCAAGAAACCTGCAAGTAAAAATAAAAAATAAACTGTTGTGTTTGGAGTTCATTATTTTTCCAGAGACAAAATCCAATGATACTATTCTTGGTATGGATTTTATTGCCTCAGCGGGGATAGTGTTCGATTTCGCCGCTTCAATTTGGTATTTCTCTGGTGATGAAGTGACTTACCCATTGGAATATGAACTTTCCAGACCATGCGTGTCCGTATCCTCTGCAGATTTCCTACGTGAGGAAGAAGGAGTTATGCTGCATCCTGAAGAGAGACTGCTGTTGTCCGACCTCCTGAAACAGAACAAAGACCTGTTCGAACAAGGGGGAGGGTCAACTCCCTACGCAGAGCATCACATCGACACCGGCGATAATGCTCCTATTGCCGTTCCACCGTATAGGCTCACTCCAGCAAAAAAAGAGATAATGAAGGCAGAGTTGGAGAAAATGTTAGCAGACGACGTGATTGAAGAGTGTGAGTCTGCGTGGTCTGCACCTGCTCTTCTTGTCCCGAAAAAGGACGGATCTTTTAGGTTTTGCGTCGACTACCGTCGCCTTAATGCGATCACCAAGACCGATAGATATCCAATTCCCTTAATCGATGATTTATTGCAGATGACCAAACGGGATTGTCACATGTCCACCATTGACCTACGTTCCGGATATTGGCAAGTCAATGTAGCTGGAAAGGACAGAGACAAAACTGCTTTTATAAGTCCTTTTGGTACGTATAGGTTCAAGCGCATGCCCTTCGGCCTAAAAAATGCACCATCTACCTTCCAGCGACTGATCGATCGTTTCCGCTCAAGCTCGTCGCTGCAGGACATCACTCTGTTGGCTTATTTGGATGACATCCTGGTGATTACACAGGGAAGTTTTCAGGACCACCTTCAGGATCTTGACAAGGTGTTTGATAGACTGCGTCACTTTAGACTCCACGCGAACCGCGCCAAATGTCACTTTGTTCGCCAGGAAGTTACATACCTAGGCCATGTGATCACACCCAAAGGAATCAAGCCGGATAGCACCAAAGTCGACGCCGTCCTGAAAATGAAAGAACCACACAATCTCAAACATTTGAAATCATTTTTACAGACCTGTTCCTGGTTTAGGAAATTTATTCCTGATTTCTCGCGCATTGCTGAACCTCTGTCGAAACTTACCCGCAAAAACGAGGCGTGGACCTGGGGTGAAGCACAGCAACGCGCCTTCGACCTGCTAAAGAGTAAGCTTACTAGCGCTCCTATTTTGATACAGGCCGATTACACCCAGCCCTTCTTGCTGCGCACCGACGCCAGCAATTATGCTCTAGGGGCTGCACTGTTACAAGGTGACAATAACAATGAAAAACCAATCGAATACGCCAGCAGACTTCTGACGTCAGCCGAGAGGAATTACTCTACCACCGAGCGGGAAGCGCTCGCAGTCGTCTGGGCAGTAGAAAAGTTCAGGGGATACATTGATGGCCATCTATGCATAGTCAAAAGTGACCACCAGCCACTTAAGTGGTTGTTTACACTCAAGTCCCCCAGTGGTCGTCTCATCAGATGGGCCCTGAAACTCCAGGCGTTTGATCTCAAGATAGAGTACTCTCCAGGTAAAGTTAATACCTTAGCTGATACTTTGAGTCGACCTACCTGTAACGGTATCAACGAGTGCGAAGTGTGTTTCGTATCCGTCGACTTACCTCAAGCACTGCCGAGCCAACTCCGAGCCGAGCAGCTTGAAGATCCAGAAGTGGCTAAAATTATTCAAGACCTAGAAAGCATAGACGAACTTACCTCTACCCGGTGGCTGGAACGTGGATATGTACTGCAGCAGGGTGTGTTATATCGTTATGATCCAGATAATGACTCCGAAGAAGCGCAGATGGTAGTGCCAATTTCCAAAAGGGAAGAAATTTTAAAGTCGTTTCACGATTCCCCAACTGCTGGCCACCAGGGTATTGAGCGGACTCTGCAGCGCATCCGTGAGCACTTCTTTTTTCCCGGAATGCGTCGTTACGTCACAGAGTACCTTAAGAACTGTGTGGACTGTCTCAGGTATAAAGCCGCGAACCAGAAACCAGCTGGTCTCCTCCAGACACCCGTCCTCCAACAAAGATCTGAAGTCCTTGCAGTGGATCTTTTCGGTCCCCTGCCTGAAGGAGATCAAGGACAACGTTGGGTCCTTCTTGTTGAAGACGTAGCTACCAGGTGGGTGGAGCTGTTCTCGTTTGTGGAGGCCACAGCAGAAAATTTCACCAAACTTCTTATAGAAGAATACTTTCTCAGATATGGATTGCCACGTCGAGTTGTGACGACACTCAATTCATATCCTCAATAATGCAACTGTCGATGTTTATTTTAGGGGTTAAACAAGAGCTTATCCCAGTTTACCACCCTGAAGCTAATCCCACCGAGCGCAAAAATCGAGAACTCAAGGTACAACTGTCTTTGTTAGTAGAAACCGAACACCGGAACTGGCCTAAATATCTTGCCCATGTTCGGTTCGCTATGAACAGCGCCGTCTGTTCCACCACTGGGAAGACCCCAGCTTTTTTAACGTTCGCTCGCGAACTTCGCACGCCTTTCGAGGTGCACCATGATCTACGTGCAATCTTGGATAAAGAAAACTTTGTGCCTTCGGCCACTCCATATTTGCGTTCCTTCGTACGTGCCTTACAGGATATTCGAGAACGTGTTGAGAAAAACAAGATCAGCGTAAGGAGATAGGTGATGCTGCACGCCGTCCTGTACCTTCTTATAAAAAGAATGATTTGGTCTTGGTCAAAACCCACGTACTGAGCAATGCTTCGAAAGGTACTACTCGCAAATTCATGCCAAAACGAGATGGCCCATATCGCGTTAAACGAGTTGTAACTCCCACTACTTTTATACTTTCGAATTTGACTGACGACGACACTGTCATAGGTAAATATCACAGTTCGGACCTGACCCCCTTTACTCAAAAGTCGGATAACAAGCAGACCACACCCGTTATTCCAAAGAAAGGTAGGGGTAGGCCGCGTATTAAACAGTCAGGTACCAAGTTGGGCCCGGGACGTGTTACCAACTAGGAGGGGGAGCCTATAACGCAACGGAACTCTTTGGAACGCGCACTTCAATCCCGTCAACGCGTCTCACGCGACGCGCCTCAACCGAATGTAATTGGTCCACGACCGCGCCGTCATCGCAAGCTCCCACCGCGCCTGCGCGACTAGACCGACGCCGAATCCTCCATCTTTTTGGCGGTGAATGTGTGACGCGAACGTTTAAAAAAACAATTATTAAACTAGAGCAATATTACAGAGTTTGAGTTTTACTACAAAGCAACCCACGAAATCACCATTCAATAACATTAAAACAGATTACGGTGTCTTCGGGGGCTTCTATATTATCAACCGACTTCAAAAACGGAGGAGGTGGTCAATACGACTGTATTTCTTTTGTTTGTTACCTCAGAACTTTTGTAAAATTTTCTTTTGTAAATAAATACATATTGTACATATATAAACACTCAGACACTAGAAAAACACTGTGTTCTCCACACAATAATTTTCCAGTAGTCGGGATCGAACCCACACCCTCTGGCGCAGGAGGCAGGTACACTACCCACTACGCCGTTCGGGGTCAGTATCGGACGCGTATCCCGGAGCACGCAGCTTCAAATTCTCTTCTAAACTTATCGTCAAATTGCAACAAATTATTACACCATCAGTCATTATTTATATTTATATATACAAAATAGAAAAAAAATTGTGCACTTTATCAACCGACTTCAAAAACGGAGGAGGTTCTCAATTCTGTTTGTTAATAATAATTCTGTAATTCAATTATGTTTGTTACCTCAGAACTTTCGAATGAGTGAACCGATTTTGATGATTCTTTTATTATTTGAAGGCTGGTGTTTCCC